CCATGTCTTGCTTGCATGGTTTCTGAGTAGGTGAATTCAATCCTTATCTTTGTAGGGAGCTAAGTGTCTTAGTTATTTTCCTCGTTACTGAGACAAAATACCCAACATCCAAAGGTAAAAGATGAAAGGTTTACTTCAGCTCAGTTATTTTGTTTGTTTGTTTTTGTTCAGTACTGGGTATCGAACTCGGGTCCTTGTGCTTGGGCAGCAGGTGGCAAAACCACTGAGCTAAATCCTCAGCCCTCAGCTCACAGTTTGTAGAGGTTTCAGTCCATACTTGCAGGCTCAAAGGCAGGGTAGCATGGCAGAGGGGCATGGCAGAGGAGAAACAGTTCGTGGCAAAGCAGGGCAGGCAGAAAGCAGCAAGCAGCAAAGTAGCAGCAGAAGCAACCCAACCTGCCTTTGTATTTCATCCAAGCTATCTGCCCTTTGGGGGTGCCATCCACATGCAGGGTGGAGGACTCTTAATCCCAGCATCATACACTTAATCCAAGCATCACACACCCTAGATCCAGCCATCCCTGAAAAGCCCCACCTACTGCACGAGGCATTGAGGGAACATCTAGATACAAGCCATAACAGTGAGTTATCTTTTCCTGACTTCTTTCAAGACCTGTTCTCAATCATTATTGCTTCAAGTATTTCTTCTCTCCCTTCATTTAATTTTTCTCCTTCTGGTATTTTCATTGTTTGTGTTTTGCAGCTGTCCCACCATTTTTTGATGCACTGGGGTTTTCTTGTTTTTGTGGTTGTTTTGCTTTTCCGCTTTGAAGGTTTGTGTTGAGAGACATCTTCAAGTTCAGAAATTGGTTTTTCAACCATGTAAGTTTCTGCTTCCGGGTTTGTGCTTCTTTAAGCTGTGATTCTGTATATTCACTTCACTGTCTTTCCAATTTTGGGGGTAGCAGTTTGCCCTTGTGACTGCACTTTTCTGACAAATCCAAGAAAAGCTGATTTTTCAGTTTATGTAGAAATTTACTTATTTTTAGGATGGAGTGATGACTTCCAAGATCCATACATGCCAGACCCTTCTATTCCATTGTTTCTGTCAAGAAATCTGCTGTAATTATGTTTCTTTCACTGTGTGTATTGATTTAATATTTATTTATTTTATTCTGGATGTCAACACATTTACTCTTTGATTTCAACAGTTTATGATGCAGGACTTGTGAAATTCTAGGATCTACGGTTGTTTTTCACTGACTTTAAAAAATTCTTGACCATGATCTCATTCAGTGTCTCTTACTCCTTCAACTGTCTCTACCTTGTTGAGACTCCAATTGATAGACTATTTGATTTTGCCCCACAGTTGTTGTAACCTCTATACTGTTTCCCTACCACTACTTTCTTCCTCTCATCTCAGTTTAGATAATCATAGTGACCTCTCAAGTTCACTGATTATTCCTACAGCTATATCAAGTTTCCTGAAGAAATTTTCTATCTCTGATGTTGCAGGTTTTCCCCTCAAGTGTTTCCAGTTGACTATTACTCGTTTCTCTGCTGAAGTTCCCAATTTGTAACTGCCTGCTAGATATGTTAATATATTGATTATCTTAAAGTCTCTTTCAACATGTTTCATCTCTAAATTGGGTTGGTATTTTATTGAATGACAAACATCATGTGTCTAACAGAAGGAATGAGGTACATAATGTTTATACTTGGAAACATGTCTCCTGTCAGACAACTAGTTTGGGGACTGCCATGTACAGGAGTTTGTGTAAGTTTCAATTATATTGTGTCTGTTGCCACAATATGTCAGTATACAGGCTTCACATTCACCCAGACAGTAGCTGCTGTCACCTTGTGCTTAAAGTACACCTGAAATGCTGTACAAATTTTGACTCTCACACTCAACATGCCTGAATGCTGACATCAGCAAGAAGGTATACATTTACACTCTTACTGCTTTCTCCACAACAGACCAGTGTTTCTTGGTACTCGGTGGCTGCAAGGCTCAGTGGGGACAGGAAGTTTTTCTCTATTGGTTATAGCTAGCCTCAGTCTTGGGGAGGCTTTGTCTGGCTTTCAGGAGTAAGGCTTTCTCAATATTCCTGCCCCATTTCCCCAACAGTAGCCAAACTACCTTAAATTCATTGTTGGTCTTTTATGAGAATTTCATGCCCATCCCTCTGTAGAAGCACAGCCTATGGGATTCTGGGCTCTGATTGTTACTCCTGTTATGTCCAGTGGGTTTGGGGTCTAGGGGTCCCCAGACTCACCCTAGCCAGCTTTGTCTCTTTGATGTAGAATGAGGAAGAGGAGTCAAAGAAGACCAGTGCAAAGTAACTTTATTGTGAGTATTGCAAGAAGCGGTAAAGGGCCACTCAGGATTGGGGACACCCAGAGCTGGGTCACCAACAAATCTAGGGCTGTGATCCTGTTTTATGGGGTAGGGGCCCATCTCTACCTCCTCTAAGGGTCACTACTTGGTTACTGGACTTGTTGGTAGGGAGCTAGATTTGGTGGGCTAATATGGAAATTTTGAGGGGAGAAATAACTTAAGAGGTTTGAGGGTCAGTGTAGCTAAATAGCAGGTCTCAAAACCACAGGCTGTCAGCTTGGCTGCTTGCTGAGATGCAGAGGCCCCTCCTTTCTACCTCTTAAAGGGGCCTAGTTTCCTAATCTCACCTTAAGGATCCCAACTGTCCCTACATCCCCTCCAAGGCCAGACAATTTTTGCTTCTGTTCCTCCTCTAGTAGCACTGATGATTCTTTGCTTGTCCTGAAGGCAGAGCATGTCCTAGCCTCATCGCAGGCACTCAGGTTTTGTCAATGATTTTCCCCAAGATGGGGGAATGGATTTTTTGCTTTGAGGTACTATGGTTTGTTGCTCTTCATAGCATCCTAAGGTTTTTGCATCTTTCAAAAGAAGGGCCTATCAGGAATTGGGGAGGGTCTCATACTTAACCCCAATCACCTATCAAGATTACTTGGAGTTAAGTTCAGTTTAAACTCCAAGATCATGGGACTGTTTCATGAGGCTCATCAGCATAAGAAATTCTCAGAAAAACAGCAACAATCTGTAAAACCCTTGGCCTTTTATTTGTAACCAAAGGGCATGAGAACAAAGGTATAGAAGAAAAACATTTGTGTAGGGGTTTTGGTCAAGTGAAAAGGAAAGAACAGAACGGTCTGCTAAGCAAGCTAATCCAGGAATAAGGATCACAATGGCTGGAGCAAACGTCTCTGAGAGTAACTTTCTTTCTAATTCTGCACCACACATCTGCTCTGATCTTGAACCATGCATTCCAGGAGCCCTGTGCTGTTGCTTCAGGGGTCCTTCATCTTTGCACACATTTTAATCACTCCTCTGGCCAGTCTCCCCACAACCTTCTGCCTGCCTCAACTACTGACCAGAACCCTCTCATCATCTGTCCTGCTCCAACCTTTCATCTGGCCACCAGGTATGAGCCCTTGGGAAACAACTTGTGAGGGTATATGAAGTCCCTTAGCCTGAAACTTCCAGCTAATCCAAACAAAATACACTAGCCCGCCCTGCTGGCCTTTTGCAATGTAAATTGTAGAGGCTAGAAGGAGCACAAAGCCTTTTCAAGGAATGAGGAAGCCATGCCACGTGGCACATTGGAATTTTTTTGTTTGGAAAATGGAAGAGCCTGGTGCAGAAAAATTTGTGGGTTTCACTTTTGGCCATGCCAGTAATGACAGCCTGGTAATATATTTTTTGAGGGCTTTATCACTATCCTCTTCCTCAAGTACCTCTTTTATCAGAATGATTATAGCAAGAGGCAGCAAGCTTTTTAGGTGGAGTGGAGGGCTAAGTGGGAGCCCATGGTTCCAGACTGGGCAAGGATTTTTTTTAAAGCCTCACAGTCTTGAACAGTTTTTTGTAATTTTAGGATAGTGTTTTTGTTAAATTTTTAGGGGTGGACTCTACGGAGGATCAATGGTTGATGCACTCACTGATTAGTTTATAAGGAAAAGGTATATATAGGGATTTTTTTTTGGTCCCTCAGCCATATACCAGGTGCACAGTTGTGTCCAGGACACGCCACAAATACCAAAATCGGCAGCTGTTCAAGTCCCCACATAAAATGTCATAGTATTAGCATTTAGTCTACACATGATGTCCTATAGACTTTAAATCATCTCTAGATTATTTATAGTACCTAATACAATATAAATGCTATATAAATAGTTGTTAAACTGTATCATTCAGGGAATAAAGACAAGGAAAAAAGTCTTAATATTCAGTACAGATGAAAATTTTTGAAGTTTTGATCCATTGCTGGTTGAACCCATGTATGTGTAATGCATGAGAGGGTCAACTGTATCTATTCATTATTTCAATTTCCTATATAATGGTACCTGAGTTTATGAACTTAATTCTTTCCAAGATTCTGGTTGCAAACCAAATTGGACAAGAACCGAATCAAATTTCCCCATAAGATCAACACTGAATGTAACCAGTGAATTTGATTTCATTCTCATCCAATTTGGTTTACCAGAATTATGGAAAGAATTAAGTTCACAAACCTAGGTACCACTATACCTAGCACCATACTGGACACATAATACTCAAAAGTAAATGAGATTTGGGGCGGGGATTTAGCTCAGTGGTTTTGCTGCCTGCTGGGCAGGCGCAAGGACCCGAGTTCTATCCCCGGTACCAAAAAACAAACAAACAAAGAAACAAACAAACAAAAAAGTAAATGAGATTCAAAGAAAAAAAAAAAGTAAATGAGATGACACATATGACAGGTATTCATACTTTCCAAAACAGAAAACATTAACCCAAACACAGAAAACACTGGCTAATTAAAACATGCACAAAAATATTAGAGGACTGAAGAGTGACAAGAGCTCAGAGGTAATTACAGGATTATATTCTGAACTGCCTGTTTAGTTCTCATGTATAATCTGCATGGAGAATTTATCTACAATGTTGCCTGGGTTCAAAACATAAAGAATAATTGATTAAAATATACACCAAACCACTCTTCAGTTAAGCTCTAAGAAAAGTTGAAATAAATACCAAAATATAGATCAGTAAATTTTTTATTTTTCTCTTATAAAAAGACAACCAGAACAAATAAATATAAAATGGCATATATGTCATACTTAGCGATGTCCAAATATACATTTTCTTGGTAGTCCCCACAGAAATAAACTAATGAAACTTTTAGAAGCATACTCATCCTACCCATCATCTTAAAAAAAGAAAAAAGAAGTCAATTCTTTTAATTCTCCACAATTTTTAACAATGAATTCTCAAGTACTCTAAGACTACTCAGGTTATCAAGACATCCAAATCAACAAATTTTTAAAAAATATGTATTCTCTCATAAATATGATGTTGCCCAGAAATTCCAACTAATGAATATCCTTACAACAATTTTTTAGAGGCAGGAATTTAGCTCAGTGGTTCTGGCGCCTGCCTCACAAGTGCAAGATCCTGAGTTCAATCCCTGGTACCAAACAAAAAAAAAAAACCAACGATTTCTTATAATTTCCATGAAGTCTATTCTGTTTAAATCTGCAAGGCAAATAAAACAGAAAACTGAGCAGTATATATATATATCCACCCACATATTCCTAAGAGAAAACATTAAATACAGTATATTTAATACACACTGACCAATAACAAATCCTGATTTTCTATACCTTGGAAGTAATGCAAAAGGCAAACAAATACAAAAACCATTTGTGACCAAATTTAGATAGTAAGATATACCCTGCCTATTTGGCTTGCAATAATGGGGTGTGGTTTTTTTGGTATGGGAGTTAGGGGGATCAAACTCGGGTCCTTGCGTTTGCAGGGCAGGCTGCGGAACCACTGAGCTAAATCCCCAGCCCTTGGCTTGCAATAATATACCAAAGGTTGGGCAAGGGTGAATATCCACATGTATTTTTTCACTAAAACTTATCTTCAGGCTAACACCTAAATAGCTTTGCTAATACTTTCAATTAAATGTTCTTATTTAATGGTTTTTCCATCATGTGGAAATATGTACAATTATTTCAAGCCAAATAAAAGTTTCTTTTCCTTTCTGCTCCTTAAAAAATTATTTTTAAAAATCTACTTCAAGTAATTTCTTACTTGGTACTTATGTAATTTTCCACTTTATAAAGAATATCCAGAAAGGCAGAAAAGAATATAATATGTTTAAAGGGTCATCCCAAAATAACTAAGTGGATTTGAAATCTTTTGTCTACTTTATGTGCTGCCCAGGCAGGTGTGAAGAGCACCTACAGATGGAGGAGATCTCTGACAACCATATACACCCTACTCATAAGCTTCCTTGCACACAAGGGCTTGCATTCTCCAAAATGCTAGGTTTTTCTGGTTCTATATCTAAACATTTCTTTAAATTTCAAAGCTAATTTAAAATTAGAAGGCAAATACATTTTTAAAATTTTATTGGTGAAGATCATTAAACTATGAGATTGATTTCCTAGGTGACAAGTCAAAACTCTCCAGAAGTGTGACTAGATGTCAGAAAGCCCAAAGTGCAGAGCCAGTGCATCAACGTGCATGATCGGGGATCCTGTGAAAGTCACGAGGCATGGGGATTCAATGACTTAAATTAACCTCTTCCAGGTGAGAGACAGTGTTTCATGACGGATGCAGATTCTGCCTGCTGCTCATGAGACATACACACATCACTGCTGCAGATCCACTTTGTGATCATTTAGAGGTAAAAATTTATCTCTAGAACATATAAATGTGGAGTATGAATTTGAAGATGGACAGTACAAACAGCTGTTAAATGGAACCTGCCTACAACAATCTTTTACTTTTTTCCTTTAAGGCTACAGAAAATCTGCACACAAACAAAGCAATTAATTCTCATAATAAAAATATCCCTACAAATAGCCAAGGTGTCCAGTCGGATTCCTCAGTGAATATATGTTGTATCACATTCTATTCTGCAGGGTCAGGATCAACTTTTTCTGGAAACACCAGCTTCTCACAAACTGCCTTCTTTATTGGTAAATACTGTGATATTTCATTAGGTTCCGTGAAGAAGGAAGGTGGAACATGCTAGAAAATGAATAAATTATATTAGCATATATTCTGTTATTTCATTGACAGTTTTTGAAAATATTTTGGTTTAAGCCTTTATAAAACATGCCAATTTCAAAATCAGGTGCAACTTGCAAATGAGGAGCATCATTAAGTGCTCCTAAAAATAACATGTATTTCCTGTTACTGAATTTTTTTTAAGATAATGAAGTTACATAACGCTCCCATAAATTTTGTAAGAATTTAATACATCTTAATTTAATCCCTGTTTCCTGTTGCTTTGGTAACTTGAAAGCACTAACCTTTACTTAGAGTCCAGTATGTAGTCTATCATGAAAACAGCAACTTTTCTAACCCAAGTATGCATACTCCACGCTTAGGCAAAAATAAATACTATTGGTGAAAAAGAATACCAAGTCTGTATAAAGATACTGCTTTTTTAAACAACTCAACAGATAATCCTAAGTACAAAGGAAGCTCTGCCAAAACAAACAAGTCATGGTACAGAGCTATCATATTTTGGAAAGGAAAAAAGGAGACTGTATGCAAAGAACAGAGCAGGGTGCTTATTGAGAAGAACACCCAACTGGTGCTACAGTTCCACCACCACTGTGACTCAGGCTAAGGCACACCTCTGGACCGCAGCTTTTCCAGCACAAAACATGGACATGGGGCCAAACGATGGCGAATATCTAACAACGCCAAGATGTCCTTGCATTTGAAGTGAGCTCAGAAGTTATGCTCCAATAGGATTTACCCTATACAGCCATATAAACAAATGGATATATAACATAAATTTAATTGAATTGATGTAAATTTAAATGATGTAAATTTAGTTAAAATGAAGCATTACAATTCAAATTCTACAAACTGAAACTCACCATTAAATCAGCAATTGTGCTCTCTCGTGAAGTATATTCTCGTAACATATAGGTCTTGTCAGCCTATATTTAAAAAATTTTAAAGCTCCAATAAATTTACTTACATTGGTTTATAAAATTCCTTCTATTAAACAGATTATCTACATTTTAGAACAGTTTGCAAGGGTAACATGAAATCTGATAAAAACATCTCATTCTACAGAGACAGCTCCTTTAAATTTCACCAGGAATTCTGAAGAATGATTTCTAATCCCTATAAATCACAGTAATGGCAGATATGCATATATAAATAGATTAAGCAAAGGTTTTGCTTTGAAAGAATATGTGTATAAGATATGCACAAGATTGAATATTACATACTTCAAGTTTGGAACTAAATCTTTTCCTTTCACTTAGGTACATATAACAGGCTTCCTTTATTTTCCAGGAAAAAAAACTTGCTTTAAAATTTTTATTCTCTCCTATTTCCATAAAACTCTTAAGTTCCTTAAATAAAATCATCTTTTCTATATTCATTTTTTCTCATTTAACATTTTCAAAGTTAGGTTATAGAGTGGCAATTTATTATAATTTTGTTTTTGGTGAAACACTCCAATAAAAGAAAAAGCAGGGGATTTAGCTCAGTGGTGCTGCACCTGTCTGGCAAGTGCTAGGTCCTGAGTTCGATCCCCAATACCTAAATAAATAAATAAATAAATGAAAACCAAAAGTCATACTCCTTTAAGATGTCAATCTTTTATATCAATAAAATCAGGCCAGGGATTTAGCTCAGTGGTTCTGCCACCTGCCTCGCAAGCGCAAGGTCCTGAGTTCAATCCCTGGCACCATAAAATAAAATTATTGCTCATTGTGAAAAAAAATCAAATAACATTAAAGTATAAATGGAAGCTAAGTCGGTGATCACAGCTCTTATTGATAACATCCTCTCATGATTTCTAAATGTACAACTGCTTTCATATTTAGAAATCGCTACCTAAAATCTTATATAAATGGATTCATACTCATTTTTTGAAATTCAACATTTAAGTAAGACATCTTTCCAAATTAAATATAATTCTTGGCCATAAATTTTAGTGGTCATGTAATTTTCTGCTACATGGACACAATATAAACAACATAATGGGCATTAAGCTCTTTCTTTCTTCCCCTTTGCTATCACAAGCAACACTGCTGTGAATGTTTATGTACATACAACTCCGAGCCTTTGCCTGATTAATATCCGTAAATTATTATAGAAGAATCTTTTTTAGGATAAATTCCCAAAACTCAGTATGATTAAGTTAAAACAGTATTTTCAAGATTCAGATTTCACTCTTTCTGGGGGAGAAAAATGCAATACTTTGTTTCCACTTTTAAAAAGAAAAGCTGGCCATGGTAACACATAAACCAGCCATGGTGACATGTATCTGTAATCCTAGCACTCAGGAGGCCGAGGCAGGAGAGTCACAGCCTGGGCTACATAGTGAGTTCAAAGCCAGCCTGAATGACATAGTGAGACCTTGTCTCAAAAAAAGAATCACACACAGACACACACACACACACACACACACACACACACACACAGAGTCCAGAGTCACCACTAAGGTTAAGGGAGAAAATAATCCCAGAGTGAATGACTAGGGAAAACACCAAACCAATCCCATCGTAGTGTGTTCAGTTCTGTCACTGACTGTAACTGGGTGAGCAATTTAAACTACTCTTTGATTACTCCAGTTATAGAACAGATAATAACAGCATGGATTTCAAAAAGGTGTCAGAGTAGTAATCATTACTCTGACCACTGGTAGTGTTGTGTAGCTCCTCACTCTACATGATCACAAATGTAATGTTAAAAATTCATTCAGGGGCCAGGAATTTAGCTCAGTGGCACTGTGCCTGCCTTGCAAGTGCAAGGTCCTGAGTTCAATCCCCAGCACCGGAAAAAAACACAGTAAATCTCAAAAGTTTACAGATTGCCATATAAAACTTTAATTTCAAACTCTCAGAATGACAATGAAACTACATAAACAGGCCCAATATCAGTTAGGATATTCACTAAATGAAAATAGGTACCTCATGGTAAACCCGTGTGTCGTTCATTCTGATAAGCACCCCATCAATTCTCAAGAAAAACCGCAACAGCAGAAAAAAGCTAGAAGGCATTACTCTCTGGAAAAAAAAAAACGTACATTAATATTTTTCATAAAAATTAAAGTTTTTTTTTTTTTTGGTACTGAAGATTGAACTCAAGTCCTTGTGCTTGCAAGGCAGGCAGCGGAACCACTGAGCTAAATCTCCAGGCCCAGTTACATCGCTAAAAGAAAAAAATTTTTGTTTTTTGAGGCAGTTTCATTACGTAGTTTAGGCTGGCCTTGAACTCACGGCAATCCTCCTGCCTCAGCCTCCTGAGGGCTGAAATTACAGGTGTGCACCACCACACTCAGCTGAAGAAAAATTATTTTTTATTTATTTATGTTTTTTTAAGTTTTTAATTTTTTTTGTGGTACTGGGGATTGAACTCTGGACCTTGCGCTTGCAAGACAGGCAGCGGAACCATTGAGCTAAACCCCTGGCTATTTTTTTAAAAAATGTTAGAAGAGGGCTATATCAGCAGTGCAGATGCTCCTTGACTTACCATGAGGTTACTGTTCCTATAAACCATCACAACTTGAAAATATCTGAGTCAAAAATGCATTTAGGGCCAAGGATATAGCTCAGCAGTACATCACCTGCCTGGCAAGCACAAGGCCCTGAGTTCAATTCCCAGGGCCAAAATAAAAAAAAAAAGGAAAGCATTTAATATACCTAACCTCCTATTACGGCTTGTATCTAGATCTCCCGTCAAAGCCTCAGACGGTTACAGGTGGGACTTTTTGGAGGTAGCTGGATCTAAGGTATAGGAATATAGATCATGGGTATGTGAAAACTGGATTAGTCCACTGATTGGATCAGCACAGTTCTAGGTGTGGCTAAATGGATTTACTGAAGACAGACAACCCACTCTGGGTGTACATGGCACCAATCACCAGGCTTGCAGCCTGGATGGAATATAAAGGGAAAGAAGAAGGTACACTCACTGCTTTCTGCCTGCCCTGCCATGGACTGTTTCTCCTCTACTATGCTCCTCTGCCATGTCACCCTGCCTTGGAGCCAGCCAACTACATACTGATACCGCTACAAACTGTGAGCCAAATAAACCTCTCCTCCTTGAACTTATGAGTGTCAGGTATTTTGTCCCAGCAACAAGAAAGTAACTGAGACACTTTCTGACCATCACCACAGCTTAGCAACACAGCACACCACTGAGGATCAGTGGATTGCCCATGTGATCCATGGGCAGCTGACTGGCTGTGGCTCACTGCTCAGCATTGTGAATATCCTACCATATACTGCTAGGCTGGGAATGATCAAATTCAAAGTACAGTTTCTACTGAATGCACGTCACTTTCATACAATCACAAAGCCAAAACATCCTACATTGAGCTATCATTAAGTTGGGGACCACCTATGTTTAAAAACTTCTGACCTAGAGGTTCTTTGTCCTAGCTCCAACTAGACTTGAAACCTTGAAAACCATTTGGCATCATGGTTTTAGTTTTTTCCAATTGAAATTTTCCCCCTAGATCAAAAAAAACTGAGATATAAAACCCTTAAGGCATATCTAAATTATGTGAAAATTACAATGTTCATTCTAAAAACTGGTAGTACTGATAGTAAATTATCAACACCAGTGAAACCAAAATTAAAGAACCTAGTTCTTTGTTGCTTTACACAAAATAAAGGCAGGAGACCTAGAACAGAATGCTCTTGTTCAATGCAACAAATTACATAGCATTTCGTATGCTAAAGACTGGTTTATCAGAATGTTACATCACGTTAACATCTTTCATCTGTGGCACATCTACAAATTTCTATGATTTCCAAATGTAATTACTGTAGAAAGCTTAATCATCTGCTAAATAAATATTTGTCTATTAAGTGCCAAGTTCTAACAGAGCTTCAATTTATATAAATGAAAAGATAAAATCCAAAAAGTTTACCAACCAGAGAAAGAGTCAAACAGAAAGAAGTACTTAAAGCTGCTGAAGAAAGTCAGAGATGCCAATGCATCTCACTGTGAGTTCACCATGGAAAAAACGGGATGGAAAGGAAAATTCCAGAGAGAAAAACACAAGCACAGAAAGTACTGAGGCATGAAACAGTCAGATATAATCAGAGAACTGTCGGTTTTCCATAGAGACACAAGGCTCCACTAATGAAAAATAACAGGATAAGCTAGTGACATTAGTGGATTCCTGCCTGGAGACTCGCCAGCCCCTGGCCATGCTCTTCCCTGCCTTAGGACTTTCACACCCTTGCTCCCTTCCTGGAGTATTATCCTGGCCTTTGTTCATTTGTCCTTCAGATCTTTGTGTAAATGTCACTTCAAACAGAGGGCCCTTTTTTACCATACCATGTCACAGTAGATTCCTCCTGTCATTTTCTCCTCGTACTCCATTACCAATGAACACAAGTGTAACTATATTCATTTATGTGTTCATGTGCTCAATGCCTGCCTCTCCATGTGACAGTGAGAATACCTGCCGTGGGCATGACCCATCCCTACTGCCTAGAAAAGCACCTAGAAAGCGGCAGGTGCTCATTAATGATTTGCCAAAGAAACAGAGGCTGCAGTTATCTTTGCTGGAGAGAAGGTGCTGGGCCAAACTCCATAGTGGAGTAATCAGCAACAGGTTTTTAAAAATCAAGGTTTACCCTGAAGAAAGGCTGGAGGAAAAAACCCGAACTATGATAATCTGATGTATCACAACAAGCTGGGAAGCACATCATCACCTGACACTTATCATGGAGTGCTATATAAAATTTATGAGAAAAGGGGCCAGGGATTTAGCTCAGTGGTGCTGTGCCTGCCTCGCAAGCGTAAGGTCCTGAGTTCAATCCCTGGCACCCTCCCGCCAGAAAAAAAAAAATTATGAGAAAGAGAGATTCAAACATTTCTTCAAATTTCAAAATTAGTTATTAACAGTCACTCTGGGCACAACACAGGCAGGTAAAGTATCACTTAGTGTGGCCTGATGGGTTGACCGGGAGTTAGGAGACCAGAGGTTAGTGCCCATTATACCACAATTCACCTGGATATTTGAGGGCAGCAGGTCTCCCATAGAGAAGGTTTGGAAATGTATATGGGTATTGTTTTGTTGTCACAATGATAAGCAACCAATACTCATATCTGCAAAGCAGCCAGGCAAGTATGGTTAAAAAAAAAAATGCTAATAATATATCAAGACTTAAAAGTGAATTTTATCATAGGTATCCAATATTCTAGACCTAAGTGAAACTAAGATTCAGTGTGATTCAAAGTGAGTCTTACTTTATGCCTAACAGTAAGAATGGAAAAAGATGTTAATTTAAACAAAAATCACAATACTCACAATTTTCACACTCAGGCTTGAAACTCCATGATCATGAAGTTCATCCTCAAAGAGGAGAACTTCTTCGAAAAATTTAATCTGTTCTCGGGCTTTCAGTTTCTCTGTATCTATATGATCTGTTGTAGGTATAACCTGAAAGAAAAAAATTAAAACAGGGACACATTTTTAAAAAAAATTTAAAGAGCTACAATCACAAGAAAGTGGTCAGTCTTTTCTGCATAGCCAGAACACACAATTATACAAGCATGGTTGTCATCAGTAGACATCAAAGATCAGAATATACCTGGACTCTGAAAAACTACACGCACTACACATACCTAGTGTTACAGCTTCTTAAAAAAGAGTCAAAGCCCAGTATGATGGTGCACATCTGTAATCCTAGCATTTGGGAGGCTGAGGCAGGAGGATCACTGAGTTCAAGGCCTGCCTGAACTATACAGTAAGATTTGTCTCCCTCCAAAAGAAAAAGTCAAAATTCCTCATCTTTTATACAAATCAGATTAAAATCAAGTGTTCTTCATTCATTACGAGAAAATTAACTGAAAATTGGCCTGATGAACTCCAACTATCATAGAAGGTAAAAGCAGCTTAGGGTTACTAAAGTACACTTTTAAGTATTCATTGGGAACTTGAAAATATTGTTTCCATTAGACTGTTACATATCTTAAGATTCCCAAACTAGTTCACAACCTACAAACAGAAGAAAGTGCTTTAAGTAATGAGAAACAAGATCGGTTAGAGAAATTCTGAGGATGACTCCTGGCACGCAAAGGGCTTGGACAATGCTGGCAAAGTTTTCCAATAGGCTATTTTGTAGTTCACAGACACAAAGACACACACAGAAACACACACACACACACAGAATGCAACAAGAGCACCAACAACCCCAAGGCAGAGCGAGGTCTTTCCTGACAGTAGCACCTCAGTGTGACCTGTGACACCATTTTCTATGACCTCCAACTTCACCATAAAATATTTCTTTTCTATTCTTTGACACGGTTTATCATGAACACAAAAATGATTGTGAAACTGTAGGTACCCAGTAAATGATGGCTATTATTTTGCTTTACTAATTAGCCATGTTTATGTCATTTGATTCCTGGACAGAACTGTGAGATGGAGAGTAATTGACACAAATGGAAAAGAATTAGAAAAAAATGATAAAAGATGTTCAAGAGATTACACAGATTTGGAGATGCTAAGGAAGCATTAGCTGATGCAGAGTGAAAAAAGAAAGTAGCACATATGATTACCAAGAAGTGACAAATATCCACAGAGCTGGGCATGGTGGTGACGCCTGTAATCCCAGCACTTGGAAGCCTGAGAGGGAGGATCCTGGGTTCAAGGCCAATGTGGGCCGCATAAGGAGTTCAAGGCTAGCCTGGGCTACATAGTGAGACCCTGTCTCAAAACAAACAAATAAAAAAATGCATAGTTCTTCTAAATTCACCTACAGATAAGGTTTTACCCCATGCAGTTTCGCAATGATTCCTTTTGTTTTATTTTGCTTTCAATTAAATTCTCATGACACAGGAACAATCTCCCCCCACCCCCACCCCCCAGCACTGGGTACTGTACTCAGGACCTCTGCACTGAGCTACATCCCTAGGCTCTTTTATGTTTTTCATTTTGAGACAGGGTCCTGCTAAGTAACTAAGTTGCCCAGGCTGGGCTCCAACTTGAGATCCTCCTGCTTCGGCCTCCAAGTGCTGGGGTTACAGTTGTGCACCACCATGCCTGGCTTGGGCGCTTTTCTTATACCATACTGTGACTCATAAAATCAAGTATTAAACAGATCAAAGAGTAAGAAGACTCTAGAAGAGTCACATACAAGCAGCCTCCAGGAACTAAAAGGAAAGGATTTAAGGGAAAAGGAAAGGCTCCACTGTAACCCCTCATTTTCTGACACTGTCCATTTAAAAAATATTTGGTACACAGGCATACACTTCCTATACACCCCAGGACTCTGAATAGTGTTTTAAGGAAGGACTAGAAAATTAAAAGCCCCAACCAATATTGTAGATAAAAATCAAAAATCCCTTAGATTCCTATGGGGGCTGCCTTCCACATATAAATGCTGTGCCTAAGAACTACAGCACTGGCATTACACTACTGCCATGTGTTCCCGGTGTATGTTATAAAAACACATACTTTAAGATCCTGAATCCATTTCTTCATTTTTAAAGTAAGGATAGTAATACTTACACTATAATGTTATTTTGAGAATTAAACACAAAACCCTAACAAGTCTGCTTGGAAAACTTACTCCATTTTTTTTTTTTGGTACCGGGGATGGAACTCGGGACCTTGCGCTTTCGAGGCAGGCAGCAGCACCAGTGAGCTAAATCCCTGGCGCACTAACTCCATTTTTTAAGGGACTAAAGGAATATACTCATCAACTCTAGATGGTAATGCAAGAATTAACATTTAAGAAATAAACCTTCTTTTATGCTTGCTATTTCAAACATATAAACTTAAGACTCCCCTGGTATTTTAGATATGCCATTAGCATAATAACAGCTGCCATTTATTAACAGACACTGTGCTAAGCACTTTAACATACATAATCTTATTTATTACCTCACAACTGATTTTGTCTCCAGTTTACCAAAATGAGAAACAGCCTTTGCAAGCCTAAATTGCTTCTCCAAGCTGGTAACGGGTGCTGATCTGAACCTGGATCTGTGTTTTGCCAAAGCCTGATCACCAGATAGTGGCTGATCACACTGACATTTATCATCAGCCCTTTGGAATAGGCTGAAGTGTCAGTCTACCCTTACTTAGCCTCTGATTCCACCGCCATGATTCTCGCGAATGATAATGCTCATGGCTCATGTACTCCACATCCACCGAAAGGCTTTCCTTAGTCAGTCCATGAAGTACGCCATCATCCTTAGTGCACAAGGCTAAAATAAGTCCCCATTTCCCTTCTCCTACCAGTGAAATATCACCTAAGCTCTCTGAAAACTTTTCAACCAGAAGAGAGAGGAAAGATACTTATCTCTGAAGTTCCATAAGGGACTGAAATAACCTTGCTCTCCTGTTAGACTACAAAGGAAGAATTTTTGTCTGTTCTCTGCTGTACTCACAGCTTCTAGGATTAGTGCCTGGCACCTGGTAAGAGCTCAAGAAATATCTACCATATGAAACATGTTCTCTCAAAAACTGCTTCTGTCCTGGAAGCACAGAGATTTGGCTAAAGCGTGGAATGGTGGAGAGGCAGAAATTGACAATAAGAATCACTAAGTTCCTGCTATGAATGTCTACCTTCCTAAGACTAAAAATCTCCAGAGTCAAGAAGGCCCTATACAACGTTCTTTTCTTTGTTTCTGCCTAACCACCAATATATAATATAGTCTCCAATAACAACATTCAATAAAAGTAGTTTACACTGAAATAATTGTGTTCTTTGTAATAATCTGATATTTACAGACATGGAACCAAAACCAGATTTGTTTCATTTCAGTCATACTGTAAGATTTTTAAATACAGCTAAACTTACAATATGAGACCTACTGACTTCACCTTCCTATGTTTTTATGTGTCATTTAAGTGGGTCCTAAACAGATGCAACATTACAGTAGTATAAAGCCTTAGAATTTATAGAGAACTTTCCCATGAATTATTAAATATCAAAATGGTATGGTAGGTATTTCTGTTAACCCAACTTACTGACTTGGAGAGCTTAACTAACTTGCCTAAATTATACTAGGTTCATATATAGGGCAGGTAGGACACACATTTAAGTAGTCTGACAAAAGTTCTGTTTGCACATGTATTCGTTCATGTGTAAAATTCTAAACTATCAGCAGGTTCTGTCTATATCATCTCATACATTACACCAAAATATATATTTCACTGGTCATGATAATGTTAATGCTATGGCAATTTGCCATTCTACCAAACATACTTCGGTGGGGATACTGGAGATTGAACCCAGGCTGTTTGTAGAAAGCTACATCCCCAACCCAGCCCCTTCAAAATTTGTCTTTTATTTTGAGGCTAGATCTCACTAAGTCACAAAGTTGCCCAGGCTGGGCTCCAACATGTAATCACCCTGCTTCAGCCTCCCAGAGTGCTGGGATCGCAGGCATGTGCCACCTCACCCAGCCCAACCACACTTATAATGTTCCAAGCAGAGTAGTGGTACATGCCTGTTTCCCAGCTACTTGTGAGGTGGAGGCAGAAGGATCCCTGGGGCCCAGGAGTTCAAGGCCAGCCTGAACAACATAAACCTCACTTCAAAAATCAATCCATTGTATTATGTTCTGAAGCCTGCCGCGATAGAAAATAAGTGGTCAAAATATAACCCATTACTAGAAACTTCTAAAGCTAAGACTGTCCAAGACAATTAATGACTCATAACAGCAAAAAGTAAGATTTACCTTTAATTTAACAGCATCTCCAAGTAATGTTCCTTTATAATCTGTGGTATAGGTCCAATCATACGGTTTAACAACCTCTTTAGAGTGTTCACCTTCCGTCCTCAAATACCAAAATAAGAAGGATCAGTTTAGTGATGCAGAATACACATCATCTGCATTCATATCACATGAGATTACATCCTACAAATTATATGAAACATCCTACTAATGTGTATATATATGTACATATATATACTTGTCCTAATTCACTAGCACAAGGTCTCTCTTAGTTTTTAGCATACTTATTATTTAACTTGTCATGTGTTGATGTAATCTTTATAATTAACTTTTCAAGCAGTGTGTCCACTCCCTGAGGACATGACTTAAAGGTTTATAATTCTTTACATTCTTTTTTTTTTTTTGGTACCAGGGATCGATCTCCTGGCCTTGTGTCTGAGAGGCAGGTGGCGGCACCACTGAGCTAAATCCCCGGCCCATTTTCTGCATTCTTTAATGTACTGAGTAAACAGTACAGACAAAGTAAATTGCTGATTTCATTAGCAAAGAAATTTTTTTTTTTTGGCAATATCAGGGATGGAACTCAGGACCTTGCACTTGTGAGGCAGGCGTGGTGCTGTTGAGCTAAATCCCCAGCCCAGAAAATATATTTTTTCTTAACTGTAATGCTTCACAATTATTCAACGCAAATCACAATAAATCTGTCTTTCTTTAAAAAACAGGAACACTAAATGTATTGCCTCTTGACTAAGAAACTAAAGCTTTGAAAAAGTGGGACTGTACAAGGCTCAGTTTAACTCAAGTATTCAAATAGCAGTGTAATTACTCTCCATTTTGTGAGAAAAATGAACTCCAGAATAATCTAACTACTGTACAAAGTTTAATAACACTAGCACTTCACTCTATTAAAACACAAATGCATTTCTTGTCTTTTTTGTTTATCCCATAATTGCCCTGATTCTCACCTGCTTTCCTGCCACTCTTCGGCACAGGCTACTTTAAGCATTCCTTGGCAGTTGTTTACACACTTTAATGCATCTGTAGCATTGAACTCAATTCCAAAGCCAGAACCGTGCTGGATTCTTAAAACGTTGTCTCCAAACATCATTTCCGGGAGAGATGGCATATGTAATTCATCTGCTAACCTAGAATAATCAAAAGTCAGTTGAAAACTAAGATCAAAGTGGATTAAAGATCTAAATATTAAGACAGAAACACTAAACTTGCTGGAAGATAAGTTAGGTAGAACTCTTGAAGTTCTGGCATAGAAAAAGACTTTATGAACAAAAACCTCAGTAGCTCGGGAACTAGCACAAAGAATCAACAAGTGGCATCTCATCTTATTAAAAAGCTTCTGCACTGCAAGAGAAACCACCAACAGAGCTAACAGACAAACTTACAATGTGGGAAAAAAATTTTAGCAGCTGTACCTTAGGCAAAGGACTACTATCTAGAATATATAAAGAACTGGAAAAACTCAGACCCCCTCAAATCCAAAAACCCAATTCAAAAATGGGCATCTGAAATGACATTTCTCAGAAAAAGAAGTAAAAACAGCAAATAAATA